TATAATATATTATATAATAATATAAAAATGAATCGCAAAATGTTTGAGGTAAGCGCCATAACTCAAAACGCCGGACCAATTTGGGGCAATTCTTTTTTTTAAAATGTCGATTGAAGTTCAAGATGGTTTTTAACGTCGAGAAAAATTGAATAAATTGCCGAAAAAACTTAAAAACAGCCTTTTTCTTTTTCCCATACTAAAACGTTTTTCCAATATAAACGTTAGAGTTCAATTTTGAGCTTTATAACTGTTTGTATAAAGGCACTCATTGTTGTTAGTAGCACAAGACTCATTGTTTAGGTATGTTTCTTAACGGCTCAAAGAGTCATTTGCTAGGGTTGCACACTCCTCCGGTTTTTAGACCGGAGACTTCCGGTTTTTGGGAGCTTCAATCGTTCCGGTTTTTGAGAAGTATGTCTGTTTTTTTTTTTTTTTTTTTTTTCAATTTCAATACATTTTTCAATTTTTTACCAATATAAATAGATTTTTCAACTTAAAATTTAAAGCTTTTCACTATTTCATCAGAAATCTGTCCTTTTCCTTCTTGCATTAGAAAGACAAAAGACAAGAACATTGAAAAATTGGGTTCTTGCGAATTCTCGAGTTATGCGCCATCCGCCTGTCTCTCTTCTACGCATATCAGGACAGTGACAGCAATTTAGCGATTATGCGAGAATCGCATCGCGCAACAGTTTCAAGATTAATTCCCCCGGAATGCTATGCTATAATTCTTCATTTTTGAAAACCAAAATCTTGAATTTTCGTATTTTCGTATCGGACATTTCGCTATCAAGGCTGAATTATTTAAAGATTTATACCCAATAAAAAACAATTTTGAAAATTCTTATTAAAAAAATTGAAATTTCGCCCCCCCCCCAAAAAATTGGTGGTTTTGCGTTTTTTTAAATCCCCCCTTTCCTTTTATATATATATATATGTATGTGTGTGTGTGTGTGTGTGTGAATCTGTATGTTTGTGGAGTGTTCGTGTGGAGCGGGCCATTAGTCCACGCTGGCTGGCGTCTTGTCGAGGTCCGAATGTAGGCACACAGTGTCAAAAACAATCGATCATCAATTGATATCCTTGAATTCGACGGAAACCGCCCAAAGGAGTATCTGCCACAGTAACTTCATAATTGTACGGCAAAACGCTGGTGAAAGGATTGCATTGTATCGCTTCTCTATCCTTGGTGAAACCAGTGGAACTTCAGCAGTACCTACATACTTTCTCTATTATTTGAAAGTTTAAGAAATATAATACTGATGAACCAGCAAAAGTTTTCCAACTGACAAAATATGTTCTTACTAACATTTCTAAACAAGCGGTACAACAGTACAATTTGAAACTTTTGCAATTTTCGAAAATTCAGAGATCAACGAAAATTGGACCTGCACCATTTTTATAAGCCTACTTCGTACTTTTCGATAAAAAATGAAGTCCCCCACCCCAAAAAGGCTGTTTTTGAGAAAATCTTTTTTAAATAGCTATCATTTTACATACAATTACGTGAAAACCACAGATATTTTGAAAAAATTATACATGACCTCAATTAAAGATCTAATATTGAAAATATATTTTATTAAGACAAAAAATCTCTATTTTCACTATTGTAGTTGTACGTAGGAAGACACCGAAAAATATTCTCAGATATTCGGAAAGTTGGCTCTCAAACAAAATTTTAAAGAGAAAATTGAATTCATATTTGAAAAAAATTCTGAAAATAATCTGGAGGTTTCATGTAAAATATCCCCCAAAACCAAATACCCGTTTCCAATTCAAGAGGCCGCGACAACTAGATTGAACGGGAAATGGAAAGGTTGGTTTTGGTTAAAAATCCAGTCTGCAACTTCGCCGTTAGCGTTGTTCACGGACGGGCAGACATTTTGCTGAAAAACAATGTTTAGGAATCAAGGATCCACAAAACGTAGATTCCGGATTCACGAAGTGTTAGAGGAAGTTATTTACTGCATATGTGAAAAAAAATTTTTGGTGTCAGGGTCCACAATGCGAGTTTTTGGTCAAAAAATAGTCATTTTTGCTGCACCATTGCGATACTTTATCTATGCTACGTAAGTAGTATGCGAGACAGTAAAAAGCGAGCATGAAATTATTTAAATATTTAATATTGAGGACTGGATATCATTAAGAAAATGTTGTCTTCCTTTATTAATAGCAATAAAAAGAATTTAAGATGTTATAGAAGATATATAAAGCGGAGGACAGAATGTCATAGCGGCAGCGGCAAGGCACTTTTGGTCTTTAGGATGACAATGAAAAGATATTCTTTCGAGTAAGTACAAAAATTGTAATCCTTAAAAAATTTGCAACTGTAAAATGTGTTTGACTGTTGTTTTTGAATATACAACAGTAAATATATATAAAAATATTCAATGGACAATCGACATTTCAACGCTCATTTCGATCAAAATAAATTTCAAATTGGTCCCTGCACCACTCCATCATAAAATACTAGGTTTGTACGTGTTTTTTTATGTATTACTAATGCTTCAAACTTAAAAAATAAAAACTTTCATAATATTTTTTTAAAATTTTAAGCATAAATTCAAATATTTTCCTTAAACAAAAGTGTTCGAAATTCAAGTGTTTGCTTACTGCTTTCAGTTAATGTCAGTCTTCAAATATTCAACTTCACACTGCAATTGTTTCACGAATTTTATGACCACAAAAAAAGGACTTTCAAGAAGTTCAATATCACTATCCGTGGTCGTAAATATCACTAGACCTATTACATTGTTTTCTAATTCATCCGCGCCGACTTGCTTGTTTGCGTACGAAGGCTGGAAAGCGAAAGAAAATTCGTGTTGCTCCCATGGCATGCACTCCGACGTTTACGGCTGTACGAGTTCAACTGCAGTCTGCCCTGCAGTCCCCTTCCAAAGCTGTTTCCCATGGCGGCCATTTCCCTGGGTAACGTCCATTCCCTCCCCGACAGAATGCTGGTCGCGGGCGAATTTCCGAGCTCAAGAGAAACTAGAGGATTCATGGCCGCTCCGCGAGCCATTGAGTTTAGCACGCTTGGTGTAAGGTTTTAAGAAAGATCAGATGTACATACTTACACAAACATTTTACAACGGTTATCCTAATCTGCATCCGTACTTACCTGTTGATCTCGAAAGTTTCAAATCCATAAATATCCAACACCCCAATAAAACGTTGCTGTTGAGAGCCACTTGTTTGAAGAGCTTTATTGACAATTGCAACAATCCAATTGAAAAGTTCGGCATAGATGTGTTTTGCTAATGCATCACGTGCACTGACAGCCTGTACAAAAACAAGAAGAAAACGTAAGGATACAACATTAAGATTTTCCCAACTTAATCTCGTAAGCACCATTCTAACCTCTTGAAACGACTCCAAGAATCTGACCAATGAGAAGGCTTAATTTGGATTACAATTTAGAAATATAACCGCGGTATCATGACGATCACATTGGCCTGATATCGTACCGGATTTTGTGTTAACTACCCGCCAGCGAAATCGTCGCGTGCAGGATTCAAAAATAAAATTTGGCATCTTCTGTAGTTGTAACACTTCACGGCAAAACAAAGAACAGTTGCCGGTCCGGATGGCCGACATCGTTAAGGCTAAATGTTAAGACTAAATGTCAAGACGATAAAAAGAACATACAATATTTATAACAAAAGTAGAACAGATTGTAAAGGGGCCAATAAACATACATACATTATTATCCTTATCTTTCAAATAAAATGATATATTCCGCTTTCTCTCAAAAGTCAAAAAAAAGCTTTAAGAGCATCGACATCGCCGAGCACCTCTCGTAAAAAGTTGTCCAGGCCGTGTCTTCGTTAACTACCAACAAATTTGACATATTCCACAGAAAGAACCGTCCTGCATGAGTCGCAGATGGGAGGAGATTCACTTCGAAGGAGGAAACCATGATAAAACTGACAGTGTTCGATACGAAGATGGGTTAAAATGATTTTCTCGCGCGTAGAGGATCGGGATGAGGAACGCCACGGATAAACAGAACCTTTAATCATACTTCGTTAAAAAGTGGTATTGTGCCACTCTGTTTGCCATGCTCTGAAGACGGATCGTTACAAAAAAGTCGTAACATCGGACGATGGTACAGAAGGAATGTCAATATGAATCTTCCGCGACAATAATTTCGCCGTCTGGTCAGCCAGCTCATTCACTGTGATTCCCTCATGGGACCCAACTCAGTACCAATCATAGTGGCGAGGCAGAAGTCGGTGAATAAGGTTTTGAAATGATTTCGTCAGTTAGACTGAAGAAGAACGGTAGACAGCTTGAAGAGATCTGAAAGAGAATCAGAGCAATGAACTACTCGCAGCAACGTCGTTAAATTTTAACGACGCTGGACCCACTCCATGTACTTTGGGGCTTCGAGAATTCCATACATTTCAGCCGTGAATACACTGCACTGGGAATGAAGACGATATCATTAGGTGATCCTTATACAATAAAAACTACATGCCACTGCGTAATTGAACGATGAACCATCTGCGTACAATGGTATGATCCGGAAATGCTTCCATCATTTTCTAAAACTGCATCTAGTAAACAATAGACCTAGTAGTTTGTTTGGGAAGACTGGAAAGTCTGAGGTCAATATGGGACGAAGGAGTTTCCAAGTGGGGATGAGGTCTCTTGGGGATTTCACAGAGATGTAAGATTGATATTTTATTTGTAAGGTCTCGCAAAAGATTTCGCAGTCGAATACCTGGGGCCGAGGTAGCGATGTTCGAAGAATATAAAAGGTTTCATATTTAGGATCGATAATTATTCGACAAGTATGGTTAAAGACCCCTGACTCTTTAGCACCATAAGGCGCTAAGGGATCGTCCATAAATTACATAACGCTAAAGAGGAGGGAGGAGGTCTGAGGCAGCCTTACGCTGTGTTACATAGGGTAGGGGGGATTAGTTACGTGTTACGTAACCTTGATTTTTTTTTACATTTTTCAAAATTTGCTTTAATTCCTTTTTTGACAACTGTACAAAAACATTAAACTATTAGGCGATAAATTTGTTTTCAAAACATAGGCAAAAGTTATTAACTGCAAATTTTTACAATGGAAATATTATTTAAACATTTTTAATCTGTAAGATTACGAAGTAAATGTTCAAAACTGATACTTAGTATATTCTAGAATTCATTTAAATGGTGCTGTATATTCTCGCTCATGAGTCATCCACGATGGTGAGTGCACAACTTGTGATAAACCATTTCTCGCCCAAGCTTTCTTCGTTCACTCACAAATTGCCCGCAATATTATTGTTAGGTGCAGCCAGCATCGCCAACCAATTTCTACTTTAAATTACGCACTATATCATTAATTTTATTATAACACACAAGTAAAATAAATAAAATCGTTTTTACCGTGCTATAATTTATTTTCACTTCTTGCATTTACAAAGGGGGAGGGTGTTGTCACAAGCGTTACGGAATTATTTGGGGGAGGGGAGCTCAAGCGCGCGTTATGAGTGCGTTACAAGGGGAGGCGGGGAATTGAAAATACTCGAAATTTGCGTTACGTAATTTATGAACGGCCCCCTAATAGAATATCCTGCCTTTTTAAGAATGTGTCTCCAGCCACAGATAGAAGGCTGATGCGACACGCACCTATTGAGAGGCGGATATTAGCGGATATGGTGTATGCTGTTGATGGGTCAGAGAGTGAAAGGAGCTGCACTATCGTAATCCAAAACCGAGCCCATGAGTGCTCTATACAGCCTCAATATGCTAATGCAGTCGCTCTCCATGATGTGCCATTCGGCATACAAAGAAGGTTAAGAAGGCGACCTCTGGTTTCTAGTCTGATATGAGTACGCCATGTGACGGAGTCAAACGTGAGCCCCAGGAACCTGGCAGATTCAGCGAAAGATTGCTGATTTCTTCCCACGTATAGGACAGGATTGCTATGCAAATATATTATATATTCTGCAGAAATGCACATCAGTATATGTAGTACAAGAAAATTTAAACCCTGTTGACATGTTGGCATGACATTCGTGCAGCTTGTTGAGCACCAGTTGAAGTTGCCTCTGGATCACACTGATGCTGCTGAACGAACAAAAGATGGCAAAATCATCCTCAAACAACGATGCCTTTACAGGTTCTCGCACAGTTGACGCTATACCATTTAGGGCGGTGGCAAACATGATACTCAGAACCGATCCTTGAGGGATAACATTTTCTAGAGGGTGACTGCTAGAAAGCCTGTCACCAACGCGAAAAGGATCTGTTCGAAAGGAAGTTTTGGAGGAAGAGAGAGCTTCCTTCTAAATCTCCAGAAGTGCGGGGTTCGCAGAAAGCCGTACCTCCAAACGGTGTCGAAACCATTTTCTGTGTAAGTAAGATTACCACAAGATGTTTCAAGACGAACGATGTCGAGATAGCTGTTGTCAACGCAACGAGGTGGTCCAAAGCTGACCGGCTTCTTCTAAACCCACTTGGGATTAGCGCCGACAGATTTTTACACTCCATGGTCCAGACCAAACGCTGATTCACATGCGATCCAGCACTTTACAAATACAGCTTTTAAGAGAAGTGGGTCGATAGCTTGATGGCAATGATCGATCTTTCCTTTCTTTGGGAACTAGGATGAAGGAGTCTCGCCACAGCGGAGATGGTGTGCTTTTCCCAGGTACAGTTGTAGAGCGGGAGGAAAAATGCATGGCCGTTTCAGGAAGATATTGTAGCATTATGTTACGGATTCCATCTGGGCACGGGGTAGTTCTTTTCGCAAGCGCTACTGCAGAGAAGAGGGATCTAAATGATCACTTTTTACCATTGAACATGTAGTGAGAAATGGATTATGGAGTTACATATGGAACACTTGGCCATGATTGTCCTGCAACTACTTATGCATAAAATCTCCACGGCAGGTACATAAAATCTCCTTGACTATGCCACACCGTGACCACCCAAAAATCTAAATATAAGGATTTACCTACAAATCTAGGGCAAATTTCATAAATGTGTTACTACGTCATACGAAATTTCGCACACGTTCTTTAATAAAAGTGCTAGCCGAATTGCTTAACTTCGCTTCGTGAAGCCACGAAGGTTAAGCAACTCGACGCTTCGCCGGTTCCTGAATTATGACCGTACTCGCCTTTCCTTTACCTTACTTTACTAAATTACTCACCTGCCCTTGACGGTCTCTCACTTTAATGAAATTTCAGGATTTTTATTCCATAATTTTGAAGTAATTAAGAATTAATTTTAATAAATAATTCTAGTTAAAATGGAGTGCTGATTTGGTACCATATTGTAGGATATTTTTGACAGAATATCTCTACAGTAGAAAAGTAACGAGCGCATAGTTTTTATTAAAGACTAATTTCTACCACAAATAAAAAATCCATTCACTCAATTCGAAAAAAATAAAAAAGTTCCTATATGGTACAATCTAAATCTAAAGCTAAGAAACCACTAGAAAATTAAACTAGTGGTGCTACAGAATTGCACATACTTTCCCGTATTATTTTTCTATTTCCTTTGGTCTCTTATAGCTATTTGGACTGGAGGCTAGATCCCCGACGTCGTTGTGACTAGCGCCATTGTCTTTTGGGAACTATTACTAGCGGATCCGACAGACTTCCGTCGTGGTTCTGTCCGTTCCGTCTTTGGCAAAGCGCGCGGCTTCCAACTTCAATAATTCAATGCAAGTTAGGAAATGCTAAACATCTATTAAAACAATTCAAATCCATAAATTTAATTGAGAGGCCAAAATAGACGATTCCGAGCTACTTCCTTTTTAGTCAGACATCAATATATCAAAATATTTTTCAAGTCTCTTCATTGATATCATATTATGGGGAAAAGATAATTAAAGAGTGTATATGTACTACCTTTTATCAGTTACAGGGGAAACTCAAATTGGGAAAATTATTTATTTGAGTTGATGTATATTTAATCAAGTTCAATAAGCAATAACAACTTGAAATTTCAGACCCCAAATGTTTTCCACTTCATTTCAAGAAAATCTCTTCATTAACATATCAAGAGTGTCTCTCTCTTTCAACTGTTTAAAGATGGATCTAGCACAGTACATTTATAAAAATGAACCTTTCTGGCAGAGCCAGTGTTTTCAACATTTTCAATATAAGAAATTATTATTTTAATTGTTCTTAGAGAAAAACAGCTTAAAATTAATATGTTGAACACTGATTAATTCATGTTGATTAATTAATTGATTAATCATTAATATGTTCAACATTTCCATGAAACGGCTAATCAAAATCAAGGTACAAATTCTTTTCAGTGATTACTCAGTAATGGTCAATACGACTAATAATGATTTTCAATATGGTGATAAACCATATAGCACTTTATTTTATGATTTCAATTACATTCAATAATTGATTTACATACATTTGTAGTAACCCACTTTAAACAAGAGTAAAATATATTATTTTTCAAAACATCAGAGATTCTACATATTGCTCATAAAACTGCAGAATGTTGTAACCAATTAGAACTAAATTTTACAGGATAGTTAAAAAGCTTGATAAGCTTTTAGCGTTTCAAGTTAGATTTTGGATTTTGTCATTAGTTTTACCATATATCATTACAGTGAATTTGATATTTTTAATTGTTTTAAAATTATGTGGCAAACAAGATTTTGCCTAAATATAAAGTCTTGTTTTTTTCTTCTTTAAACAGAGAAAAAGATATTAGTGAGAAAGCCTGTGAAACATTTAGAAAACCTATATAAAAATAAAACTGTAATTACTGCTTGTGGACTTACACAAGTTGTTTGAGGCTCACACTGTAACTTAAATGCTTTATATGTTCTGTTAATGTATAAACTTATTTCTGAAACTCATGTTTATACATTAACAGAACTTATAAAGCATTTAATAAAATACAAGTTCAATCTCATACCCCACCATAAAACAAAACGAGACAATGGCGCTTGTCAGAATTAGAGCTGAGGAACACCACCCAAAGCACAACTTACAATTTACTGGTACACAAATAGTCTTCATCTCTCAGATGGAATTGAATATTTCAATTTTCCATAGGAGGGGAAAGGAATCGGGAGAAAGATTACTCTTCGCACCTTATATAGAAGTGGGAGGGCAATGCCATCACTAATTGTTCCTTACACCTTTGCACATTGCATCAGAATATACATGACTACATCTATTCTGCATTCATCACAGATCACTGTGGTCACTGCGGTGTTGTTCTTGTAAGAAGTGGGAGTGTTAATCACAAAGGCTTGTAAGATTTATCTTCCCATGCCTAGCACAAAGAGGTGAAATCAAAAGATTTTATAGACTTTTATCCTTGTGCATTTAAAATATGAGCTCTGCCACACTTTCATTCAGAACGATTGGAGCATTTGATGCAATGTTTCATATCAGATGTAGACATTGCAAGAAGGTCTTCTTTTTTTTGGCAACCTAGAAGCTGACTTGGCTCAAGTCAGCCATTTCATTTCCAGTAATTTTGATTTAGTGAGAGAACTCAACAATGGATCCATGGATACAGCAATGGATTGATGGAGTATTAGACAATGAATTTAGAGTTATATTGTAATGTCACAGGGTTAAGACAATGGATTGATTGATAGTGATTCCAGGCACATCAACTTCTAAGGTTGTTAGGCCCGTAAGTGTCGTACATGGTTTTGCTCAGGAGGTGGCAGTGGTCATGGCTGGATGGCAGTGGCTGAATGGCGAGATCCGGCGCTGATCTACCATAGTCTAGCAAGGTTTTTCCTAACCAGGAATCTCCCACCCTCTGCCTCAACTGGAACAAACTGTAACCGACCTGTCTCCCAGCACGTGTGGTGCGTAGTGCATGTAAGTAGGGGTGAGGAAAGGACAAGGAAGAGGTAGGAAAGATTGTGCTGGGTCTGTGGCCCATTTGTTAGAGTACTGCTACGGTATTCGCCTGGTGTTGATAGGAGAAACTATAGAAAACTACTCATCAGAGCAGCTGGCCACTTGAATTCTCCTCCAGAGAGCGACTGAATTTGACCTAGCTGACAAGCTAGGGCCGAAAACTCCGCCACCGTTGAGACTTGAACTTAGGATCTCCTGGACAGAGGGACTGCAGTGACATCAGTTGATGCCCTGAGCCATGGTACCCTGGTACGAGAATGGAAATAGGACACTGGTACAACTGCACTTCTAGAATGACTGCATATTACAACTTGTGGTAATGGCCTGACACAATGTACAATCCAATATATGCAGCGTGAAGATCCTATTGGGAAGCAGGAGGTGGCATTAGTTTCGGCAGTCCTTAAATGTATGGGCGGGCAAGTTGATATAACACTTGTAAATGATTTGTTTAGAAAAAACAGGGATGCTAGAGAAATTGCTACAAATAATCTCAAGAAGAGGAACAGTTATCACTACTTTTGAATAGTTAACACATTTAATCAATATTTTATGAAATTCATAAGATGTTTAGTGTACTGAGTACTGTATGAACAGTACAATAAAGCTTATCTGGTAAGTTACCTCCACAACAGTCATAGGCTTCAGAAAAGCTTCACGTAAGCTTACAATTCTTCTTTGGCACAGCCACGATCTCATTTCCATTGCATCCAATTGCAATAAGTTTGCAAATGCAACAAGATGTGGGTCATCTGCCTGTAAATTAAGAATATTTCCATCAAGTCTTATGCATTGCCTAAAAAGTAATGTATTACATTTAACGTGCATTAAATTCAATAATTAAGACATTCATATTCCTGATCACAGAAAAGAAATATTATTGTCTAATACTAACTTATCTGTTTTTTTTTCTCTCTTCAAATATCAGAGTAAGCACATAGTTCAATTCCAAGCATGCATGGTTTTCTAATTGCATGTGACGTATTACATACCCACGCAACAGACATACGCATTGTTCAGGCCAGAGGTCAATATTTTTTAAAGGTTCTAAAATGGTTAAGCATCACTGAAGACCTTATTACTATGTGAAATGTATTCTTCTGCCAGGCAGATGAGCCAAGAGGCAGTTGTTAATGCCTCAGAAGTGTCTGTTCAGTGTGTGTGTCTGTAGTTGGAGGTTAGGGATAGTTTTCAAAAGTGATTTACATTGTTCTGATACAGTCAGTAAAAAAATTAAGTAAGGATTGATAAAAATATTGTTAAAAAGCACAAGAGAATATGTAAGCATGTGAATTAAGTCATCAAACAAAAGTAAATGTGCAGGCCATCAATACTGAATTTCAATTAACCCACTTCATTTACTTTCACCATGTTTTTAATTAAACTTGCAATAGACTAAATTTAAAAAAAAAAAAGCATGTACATAATATTTCTTACAAGTACCTTCATACAAGTTAGCCAACTTTTCTGAAATGAATGTGAATCATTTTTATGTATTACTCACTGACCATGTCCCCCAATTTAGTTTAGCATGAATGAATATCGAAAGAACTCTTCACGTAACTGAACAGAGTATACATTCCAAAATTCTAGCACAGGTAGACAAGCTGACATGCATGAATAATTCACATACAAGCTAGTTTTCATCCTACATCCTCATTTGTAATGTAGGGTTTATGACCTGTCCTTTTTTTCATAATTCATCAGGTCTAATAATTAGAATATTCTTTCAAGTAAGGTTTAAATTTTCATGGCAATGGATGAGGATATATTCTCTGACCCTTATACATGTAAAGACAATAGATAATTCTTGTTTAGAATAGCCTGCACCAAAATCCGCAACAGTAAAAATTTGACACACTAACTTTTTAAGCTGCAAGGCACACTTTTGTATGTTTTTCTAATTTGGTTAAAATTTCAAAAGAAACAAAAATATGGCAGTGCACCAAGGCAAATATATAGAAGGGCTTCATTGCTAAGAGAACAGTACATTTGACTTCCAAGATAGAGAGGAATGGACGACAGTTGGAAGGCATTTCAGTACATTCAGATAATTCGTTTCACACGTTTGTCATCAAAAACTAAAACTAGTAGTGCCATAACATCATATACTTTATTGTAATGGTTACGTTATTTATTAATATCTTACTTACACATCAGCACCACTTGAAAAAACTCTTAGTCAAATGAAGGGACAAAGTTTTAAAAAAAACGTATCTTTGGTTTATTGAAAACATCATTCACCCTCTCTAAACTGAAATCTTGAGTAGTCCATATTTATTTATCTGTTATAATCAATCATTAATGTCATGGCAGCACCCTTGCACAAAAAAATTCAAAATCACGCCAAAACAACTATACTTCAGAAATCGGGAAAAGTATATATCAAATTATTTATAGATTTAATATTGAAAAATACTTTATATTAAGCAATCTATCTCTCGATTCAATATTGAAAGTTTAAGACCAGTTTGAAAAAAAATTGAACTTTTTTAAGTTTCAAAATTCGAGAGGTTTTTAATAAAATGGGACCTATGTCGTATTCTTAAGCAAACTTTAATCCCTTTGTGTAAAAACTTTAAAGACCAAATTTGGAACTTTTTTTTAAATTTGAAAATGTCTTAAAAGCTTCATGTAAAGCTACCCCAAAAAATACAAATATGCATTTTAAATTCAAGGTAGCAGATCGACCAGGGAATATCAATTTTGGTGAAAATCTTTCGTTCAGTTTAGGCTCTCAGTGAATCAATGTCGCACAAAACCTGGATTTTCCCCTCTATCATTGCATCCATCTCTTCCTATAATATAAGATGATATAAGAAAAGTAAAACTATGTACAGTGTAGTTGCTAGTGTCGTGCACAGATGGTTGGACAGACATTTTTAAAAGACAATACCAGGGACTGCTCCGCCCTCTCTCCACCAAATGCACATTACTGTCGAAATCTCAACATTAAGTTTTTGCAGCGTTACACGTTCCCAAATACTAACTATTTGCAAAAGTGACAGTAGTAATTTAGGGGCTGTATGAACAAAATGTTTCCAGCTCTTTTGGTAGATCATGTTTGAAAGGCATCTAAGGGAGGAACAAATATTAATTGGTCTAGTGACTTGATGGCAGTAATAGAACTTGGGGCAAAAGTTATCTTGGGAAATAAAATAGGGGATGGGGAAAGTCCTCTACCTTGTTATCTGAACCCCATGTCCACTTCATAACCAGTAAGTGAGAGGGATCGTTCAATATAGCGAAAATATTACGATTAAAATTTCTTACAAATGAAAATGACTAAGTCTGCTAAAATGTGGAAGAGGCTTCACTCATAGTACAATGGAAACAGAGAGGGGGTGGGGAGAGGGATGGAATCTATCAAGAAAAGAGTTACTAATTTCTCAATTAAATAATGTTCCAATAAAAATTGGAAAAAGTTAGTCTTAACATCTGATTCATAGTTGGATGTATGTAGTGTAGAAAACTATCCAAAATTTCAAAAACAAGAAAATGCGAAGTGAATGAAACATGTTTATTGAACTTGCCAAACAATGCTCATTATTTTGTTCTATCAAGAGAAATGAATATGATTTAAAATCACAATCCATGCTTCCATGCACTATTTACACACAGGCAATTTTCAACAAAATTAACAAAATTACTTTCTAGTTATTTCCTTAAAAAAGAAAGTCCAAAAGAAGACTGAAGATCCTCACAGCAATGACACTGCATTCACTATCCAATTCATCAGATTCTTCCACCACTGATTCAGTAATAAAAACATTCCCAAGGTGAAGAATTGCAGCAAGAATATGCCACATATCTTTTTGTTCTCGCTCCGAGAAACCTAGAAGTGATAAGGCAGAGCAAGTCTCCTCGAACTGTTTGGCATCATTAACTCCTTGTATCCCAGAACAGGAGCCTTGGTTCAAGTAATGAAATGCATCTTGTCGATCTAGAAAAACAAACAAACATGAATTATACAAACTCAGTCTTTACAGTGATGAATCTTTTACATGTGGGGAATTCAGTGCTTTGTTCCACTAAAAATTGAGATTAGCCAAATATTTAAAAATTATTAAATCACTGACACCGTTGCACTTTTATACCATTTCAACTTTTGAACCATTGCCAGGTTTCCCAGAGATGATACCTCTGGTTTTGATAGTTGTGCTAACAATGAAAATGGGGGACAACAACAACAACAACAACAACAACAACAACAACAATTCGCCGATGACTTGTCAGAAAAAAGCGCCTTCTGCGACTTTTCCAGAAATATCAAGATTTAGTATTTTTATAACAAACTTTTAATGATATTTATCAAAACATCACATCTAGGAAGTGGCCATTTTTTATGTTGAAATGTTATATGCAGATTCTTCGAAACAAATGTGCTATACATTCAAAATATTAAAGTCAGCCATCAGTTTCAACTCTTTTTTAACCTCTGAATGAACACCTCTTCACGGTCAACAATTTTCTTGGTGTATTGTAAGTTTCTGTTTTATTAGAATCTCTCTATAGCAGACACTTCTCACGAGTGGACAGTTTTTCAGGATGGAGCATATTCATACAATAGAGATGTTTCACAGCATTAATTGTATGACATGACATAAAAAATAAATAAATAAAATTCAATACGCACCCAATTTAAGGTCTGGAAAAGAATCACGGACAGCACATAACTGATAGAATATATGATAATTTCTTTCTTCTGGTGCTTGGAATACAACTCGGGACTTTTCCAGAAGATATGTTCGCATGCTGGCTCCTTGAATATGGTATTGAGGACTGAAGTGTATTTCTATGAACTTGCCAAAACGGGAACTGTTGTCATTTCTTGTGGTCTTAGCATTTCCAATAGCCTGAAAAAAGGCATTATTTAAAAATTTAAAATAAAATAAAACAAATTAGTCACCTTTTTATTATCATAGATGAGTACTTGTTAATTTTAAATTATTAAAAAATAGAAAAATGAGAGAAAAAAGGGAAACAGAAGCAAAGAGTTAAACTCTCATGTGAGTCCTTATGCTGAAAAAGGTGGCAAACATCAAAACTCTGGTAGGTACTCATTTGTTTCCTTGATAATTACAAAATAATCAAAATCTGACCCACATGTTTTATTGAGATACAGAACACACATGTTTACAATCTTATAAATAAAAACGCATGCAAGAATCACCTCACTCAACCACCAACCAACAAACAAACAAAATGCTTCCAAAACAGTAGCTTAGTGCGATGTTTTGAACTCTACTGAAATTAAATGGTATTGTTAATATTAATTTTTCAAATTCATTTTTTATTCACTAAATTATACACATGTCTCATTTCATGCAACATTTCAATAAATTATTTATCTGCAATTTTGTATTAGATATATTTGGAAAATAATTATTCAATTTAATTTTTTTTAAAGTTAAATTAGAATTTTTTGATTAAAATTCAATGACAAAAACGGAATTATCATGGGGGGGGATGCTACAACAAACTTAATTCAATACAACCCAATGCAGTATGAAGGGAAAAAGTTATTTCTCATGGCAGCTAGTAAGATATTGATGGAAGTTGTTTGGATAAATATAAATTACAATTTACTAGCTTGCCTAAGTTTTAAGGTGTATTACTTCATCATTGTTTAATCATTATGAATGCTGATGGTCTCACAATATATTGTTTAAAATTACAATAGAATCATAGTTACAGCAAACATCAATAAAATCTTACTTTATGATCAGGTGAAAAAACATGCAATTTTGAACCACAAACAGATACCAAAAACAAAACAATGCTAAACAATATTGTAAAAAGAACAGATACTTTTTCATTGAACTGTAATTTTACTGTGATACTACATTTTGTCATCACTACTCCACAACATAATTAACCCAAACCAACTTCAATTTATTATATTCTCTGTGAAATTGTTCTACATGTCTAATAAAAACCACAATGCTTCAAGTGAGAAGAACTAAATGGTTTTAGTTATCTCTTGAAGTATCATGGGTTTGACTAGAATGTTTAACTGTTTCACACAGTATCTGAAAAATTGAAGCCAGTATCTGTTAAGGTGTAATGGGTTGGTGATGATGGAATACTATGGTATATTACTGCAGAATGCATCTTTTCTTTTCAATATAGTACTATACATTTTGTTTCTGGTTTCAGTTTGTATAGTTCAGCATACAAAGTTTTTGAAATGGTTATAGTAATAGTTTTAATGATGTTTGTGTAAATACAATTGTTACTTTCTCACTACTGCTCATGCAGAATAGATTAAGTATTGTAATGCTGCGTGGAAAAAGCGGCGAATTTTCAACAGAAAATATCTTATTGCGGGGCCCTGATAACGAAAAAGTGGATATATCTTGTCCCTATACATAGAAAATTACTTTATCTATCACGTTTGGTCTTTAGAATCCATGTCCTTGATACCGAAAAATTGATTGACCGCAAAACGTTAGTCTGCCAACAACATTAGCGGCTAAACTGTGAGCGGGGTTAGCATCAAAATTGACAGTCCACATCTGATGTGGCTGATGTCGCGGCTCCTTGCATTTGAAAATTAAAAAAGAGGCTGCAAATTTGTTGATTAAATTTTGTTGAATAGTGAGCCGCTTAAATGGTGCAGGTCTCACTTTCGTTTAAATTCCCGATTTTTCAAAAATTACGAAAGTTCAATTTTCGGCGTATTCCTGTAACAAACATATCGAAGATAATAGTTTTTTCCTTAATGAAATCGGGTTTTTAAAGACAGATTTTGAAATAATGTCATGTGCGATTTTTCAAAATTTTGAGTACTTCTTGAGTATTTCGCGTGAAATATAGGCAATTTTTAATTCTTTAAAACACTTTCTCAAAAAGTCTCCAAATTTTTTAATTTAATTTTGGCCTCGGTTACGGACACTTAAAGAATGGCAAAGATCTCATTCGTTAACATCTCCAATTTTTCGAAAATATCAAAAATTCAATAAAATTTCGGCGTCTTTTCTTACAACTAATTGTGAAGACATTTTTATTCTTGATGAAATCTGTTCCTTAAAAACATCTTCAAATAAGGTCATGTTCAATTTTTCGAAAATTAGTGTTTTTTGTGTAATTTTGCGCCCAACTTGACAATGTTTAAATTATACAAAATTACTTTCTCCGAAACAGCTCCAAATTTTTTCTTCAATTTTTTTAATGTATGTAGCAAAGAAAGGTAAAGAAAGAGGTTCTGGTCCCACTTTTGGCTCACTCTGAGCATTTTCAAAAATTGGAAAAAAATCGAATTTCCTGCACTTTGTTTGAGATGGGGACACATTGCTCTCTGATTAACAATCAGACACACTTAAGACACATACCATTATTTATCTTAAAAAAAAAAAAAGGAATGAAAAATAACGTATTTCAATGTGCCCAAAATTAGTTTTTTTATTTGATATTACCACCGGACAGGACATCGTTGCCATTCAATACAGTAAAGGATATTTGAGAAGTTCATAAGTTCATTGTAGAATGGCAACATGATGGGAGAGACGCCTTATGATACAATGATGGTATATTCAACTTAACTAGTTATACATAAGGTAATAATGATATTGTAGTTTCAAAAGCATTCATATTGTGATATATCGAAAGGTATTTAGTTCCAGATGTTCAATACATATGTGAAAGTTATCCTCGTTTGTCTGTATGTTGTGCTAGAAATAATGTGAGAAAATATGTACACCACTGGTTATGTGTGTTGTGCTGTGTTGTTGTGTTCTGTAGACCATCATGAAGAAATACATTTTTAAACGTTGGCAAATTATTAATTTGCCATTTTTATTTGACTGACCAAACCAGTATCCTGTCATCATCGTACTGCTACCTACTTGAAATGCAATGTATGACAATATATTTTGAATAATTTGAAGACTCATTGCATTGCACTAAAAGGCTCTATCTGATAAGATGGTAAAACATGCACCTGCATGAAATTGAAAATACAATTTTCCCTAAGGATTGTTAAACTTTTTTTTTTACCATTGAATTGACCATATGAATTTCGTTTGAAAATAATGACACACTATGTGGAATTTACTGAATTTTTCAAAAAGGAACTTTTAATATTTTATTTGCCATGAATTCAAACGTTTAAATGGATTTTAAAATTTTGATTTTTTTAAAAAGAAGTTTTAATTCCGCCCGGTGCACGAGAAAAATCTCAAATTCCTTAAAAATCAGCTATTATCTAGATTTTTTTCATATTTTCTGATTGGTGCGCCATATTTAAAAAAAATTAAAAAACTTATTTTTGTCCCATTATATTCATGTATTTAGAACTGTATAGAGGTGTGTACAGTAAATGCAATATTTTTTTCTAGCAGCTGTATTTGAAATATTAAAGGTAATGTCAATATAGAAATTTACGTAACAAAAGGCGCAAAACAGGCTATTCTTGCACGAGTCGAGTGCGGGAATCACCTCGCGCCCGTGTTGCGTATACTAGTTTTTAACACGCGGGAGCGAAATGCAGTGTGTCAGGCAAACGCTTCGCGATGTTCCGCACAGAGAAAAAAATAGCTGTTTCGCACACGAAAAACAAGCATGAGCAACTGCTTTTGGTGGACGGCGTATTAAAGTAGTTTTATAAATACGCGCTCAGCAATCAAACTTCTAAACAATGCATGAAGAGCGCGTCCATAGCAACGGCCGTTAAAATACTCAGTCTTTAAAAATATTTTAGAGGAGACTCGGGTTCAGGTTTCACCAGTGCTCTAAACCCCTTTTCGTCCCACTTTTCCGTTTATCATATTCGCTCATGGATTAAAGGTACCCAATTTTGTCCCAGTTTTCCATTTGTCCCTTGTCCAATTGTCTCACTTTGCTACCTGGTACCCTTTTGTGTCCTGATACCGTTTTTGCCCCTTGCCCCTTTTGGTCTCCTTATCCCATTTGCTCTTTTGTCTGTACTGTCTCATTTGCCCCCCTTTCCTCATTTTGTGCCTTTTCCAATTTTATCCATTTTGTGCTCATTGTCCCATAATGTTTCCTTGTCCTGTTCATCCTCCTTTCCCTCCTTGTCCCACTTGTTCTTTAGGTCCTGCCGTGCACTGCATTTTTTATTTAAAAACAGTACCAAGACCCTGTAGCATCAACTCTTGCTTCAGAACATCGAGAGTAATGACTAATCTTAATTCATTAAAGTGTTAAACATTTTGAATAACCAGAATAACTAAAATACACAAAAAACATGGGATGTAACACATGCTCCATTAGTGTTTTAGGACTTGTTACATAAATAACTATTGTCAATAATATTTTGACAGATTTACCCACACCAGATGGTGATTTTTTAAATTTATATTAAATTACTTGAGAGGTTCAAAAAATTATCAACTATAGAGAATTGACTAATTGAAGTGAGAATTTCTTGAGGATTTTGGATGTAGTGGTGTTTACTAACAAAATAAGTAGCCGTTTTAAGCAAGATTTTCTATTGAAATAGTAAAAATTGTTCACCATCTACTGCGTTTATATCTAATGGACTAAATATTATTGCAAAATTATTTATTGATATTAGTCTTTTAATAATGCAAGTATTATTGCTAGAAAATAACATTGTAATTACATACCTCTATACAGTTCTATATACATGAAAATAATGGGACAGAAATATGTATTTTAATTTTTTGAAACACAGTGCACCAATCAGAAAAATGTGAGAACAAGAAGATAGCTGATTTTTAGGGCAACATTTGAAAATTTTGTTGTGCACTCGTGTATCAGGCCTTGCTTTAAAAAACTTCCAAAATTTTAAAATCCATTTAAAAGTTTTAATTTCTAGACATAATTTAAAAAAATATTTTTGAAAAATAGAGTTAATTTCATAAAAGGAATC